TTTGACATATTTTAAAAATCTGCAACAAAAAACATAAACTAATTGAAAATAAAATTACAAATTTTTTTAATTATAACAATATTTAGAATAATGTATCCTAAGAAAACTACCAGCACTGAACTAAACACTCCATACACACAGAAAACGTAATAAAATGAAAACTAGTGCTGGGATAATTCGAATAAAAAATAAGCGCTCATTCGATTATTGAAATATCTCGAATATTCTTGTCATGAGAATTCGAGTGATTTAGTTCTCGGAGAGTGGTGCCTCCGACTGTCGATTGAATAAATAATCGTCGTTATTTTCAGTGGCTCATTATTCAAATTTCAAATATGTGATTCGAGCGATGAGATACGATGCGAATACCATTGCACTTAATTACATGTTAAGATTGTTAAGTTGGATTGTCTTAAGTGCAGAACCTGATTGAGTTATGTAAAAATATAATATAATTTATAATTGGGAGTTGTATAGAAACTACGAGCCAAATCGATTATTTATGATTATGAATTATGACTTGAGCTCCCGAATGTCGCCAAGTCAAGTCATCGATATTGATTTCCCCATTTCTCGAGCTCCAATCACAATTCGAATGATCATTCGATTATTAAAAGTAATCGAATACTCTTCAATCAAGTATTGAAATCATTCTACTATGCCCAGCACAAATGAAAATTATCTGTTGCACCAGTGCGCCATATGTATGATAATATAATAAATTTACAAGGCCCTTTCTTACTTACTGTTCATTTTATAAGAAAACGAATAAAAAAAATTTCCTTCATTAGTTACAACTTACTCGCTTACAATATTCAGTTATTCTGAAAAATAAAAAAAGTTACTGTACTAAATTTATTTTTAGTAAATTTTATTATGGCAATCGAATATATTTCAGAATATATGCGTCCAAATTTTCAATTGGTAGAAACAAAGTTATGGGATGAGAAATATAAAATAATGTGTTTTTGAAAAATTTTATAAAAAACAGAAAAGTGCGATTTTTTTCGATTTCGCAATTCCGATTCGAATCGCGACCTCCGTAATCGAATTCGGCACGTAATTTTACATAAGTCTATGACTTCAGTTTTTGTATGTGCGCGAGCTTCATATGCCACTTTTATTTTGCATATGTCGAGGGTCCCGCCCGGCTATTGGGATACAACACAATGTCTAAAATTCGTGAAAACTGTCTGCGCAGTTTGTCAGTGCCTGCCAGTGATGGGAATAATCGAGATATTTCAATAATCGATTATTAATCGAGGAATTTTAATCATCGGTTAATATTAGTAGTACTAATTTTCGTAATTTTTAATATTTTAAGTTATTTGTTATTTTGGTATAATGTTGTGTGCAATAATTGTGTACAACAGTTTTTTCAACTACTGGTATTGCTAATTTTTAGAAGTCATAATCGATTGTCTCGATATATTTAAATAATCGACTAATTCGATTATCGTATCTCGATTATTCCCATCATTACTGCCTGCCCATATGTACTATTTAGAATGTGCACCATTTACCTAGGTAGGTGGGGAACATTCATACATATGTACATACAGACAAAATCACTCAAATTTGACATCCATGAATGCTGAACCAAAGATTATATTTGGCAGAACGACACTGCGATGACAGACTTCAGTAATTCTGAATAATACATTATATCAAGTAGTATATATTTCATTATTCATTTTATACTTTTGTTTTTATTTGTCTACGTATGTCCTTCTATTAAAGAGGCAGTAGTAGCTGCCGGTCCTGGACTCAGATCCAGTTTCTTGTCCCTGGATTACAACTTTCTTTAAAGAGAATTTTATGCCTTACAAAATCATTTATGTTTTTTTTTGCCGTATCTGGCTTATTTTCCGTTTAGTTTTCAATATATTTAATCAGAAAGGATCAGAAATCGCATTTTTTGTTTACATTTATGTTTATTATTTATCCCACACAATGAGTTAGTCTTAACAGAGTGAGATCCTCATTAGATCGAAAGGTTTTTACTTGTCCCGTCCTTAACAAGAATTGTGGAGGTTAAAAAATTAGTTTGATTTGTTCTGTAGTTTCTTTAAAATTAAATTAAATAAAAAAATTTCCTGATGTAGAATTTGCAATAATAATTTTTTATGATGTATGTTTCTGTAATGTTTAGTTTAACCGTTTGAATCGAATATTACAGTCTTTGTTTACGATAATGTATAGTCATCCTTAAAAAAAACGTTTAGGTTTTAAGATATAAATAAATATATAAGAGAGGTAGTGATTTTATAAAAACACCTTCCAATTTTTTTTAGAAAAAACTGTCTGGTCAGCTAGCATTTCTATGTGTTTGGAATTTTTTTGATGGATCGTTTCGCTCTAGAACAAGAACGTTTATGAAAAAGTGTCCCTGCGGAGTTCCTTTCTACTGATTATTTTTGTACTTTGGGTCACGGAGTGAATCCTGAATTTTGCTTTAAATTGATGTATTCGTAGATTTAAACGTAGGCGGCGTGGGCTGTACAAGCTAAAATAATATCATATATCCGGGGATACAACCATTCGTTTATTTATTATTGTTGCTTGAGTCAACCTTTACTTGATGAAAGTCCATGTTAATTTTGAACGAAATAAGACTTAATTGTTTACGATTTTTTACATTGTTTACTAATTTATGTGTTTTTTACAAAATATGTAAAAGACATGTCAATTGTTTCGCCAACAGAGTAGTAAAAATAATTTTGATTAAATTATGATTGAACATGTTTGTAGATATCAATAAAAAAATATACAAACATGTTATTCATTACATTAATAAAACAATATAGGAAATAAATAAAATGATAAAGAATATAATTATGAAAAAAATTAATTAACAATAAATAAATAAAAATAGATTATTATATTAATTAATTTAAACAAGTTTAATAATGGTGAATAATTTGTTTCAAACTGATCATTTAATATTAAGTGCAATATAAATCTGGGGTCACAAACTTGCCTATTTTTAAAGTATACACACATACATTTTTAAAATGTATTCTCAACGTGCCATTGGTTGACAATTCGTGTTACGTTAGAAAATCAACCGTTCATTCATTGTTGGGAAAATAACGTTAAAAATACATGATTTTTTCACGAATAATGTTGGCATTGACAACGTTAAATTAACATTATTTAAAGCGTTTAACTAAAACTGTTCTCTTAGACGTTCGCGTTGACGAAACGTCCATATCAACTGAATAGTCCACTGAGGTCGAACAGACACGTTTTTAAAAGGTTTTGGAGTTACTTACACTAGTAATATATTTTAAAATATCTGACATTCGTTTCACATATACTAATATTTAACGTTTATAATTTCGTTATCTGAAACGTGTAAAACCACGACACATTTTTAAGTTGTTTGTACGTAAAAAACGACACGTTTTTCAAATGGTGTTTGGACATTATAAACGTATTTCTAACGTATGTGTGTTTACTATGTTATTCATTAACACTGACGTAATTTTCCACGGAATTCCTCGACCTTTCAAAATGAAAGAGAAAATCCGAAATTTGTATCGATTTCATTCGATCCTTGATTCACCCTTGGTATTGGTAAGATTTTTAAAGATATAGGTATGACAGTGTTTCATTTATCGGGAAATAAACTACAACAACTTTTAGGTAATCCAAAAGACAAAACTGAAACAAACGAAGAGTCGGGAATTTACGAACTTAGCTGTAAGGACTGTAATCAAAAATATGTTGGACAAACTAGACGATCCATTCAAACTAGATTCAAAGAGCATATAGCCCATCTTAAATATGGTAGAACAGATAAGTTTAGCCCACCATACGTTTGACAACAACCATAAAATAGATATTAGCAATTTAAAATTAATTAGGAATGTAAAAAATACTAGACAGCTGGATGCATTTGAAAGCTTGGAAATCACCAAGTGTAAAAATAGTATGAATAGTGACAGAGGGTCAATCCCAAATAGCTCCAGGAATGTTAGTCTTTCACTCATCTGAAGAGGCTAATATATTGACGAAAAATTGTCATGTTTTTTATATATTTAATACAAAATGTAGAAATGGAAAAAAATGTGAAAATCAAACAAATTTATTTTCGTTCAATATTAATTTTGTAAAAGTAACAAAGTAATAGGTACCATCAAAATTTGAATAATTTTCAACAATATTGGTTAAATCTAGAAACATCTTTGTTTCAAAAAATAAATTAATGTCAGATTGAGTGCACAAATTGTTAAAATCCCTTACAAACACAGTATCTTTTAAATTTAATTATTACTTAGTTTATCATTGTAACTTTTCATTGCATAAAAAACAAATATCGTAGTATTAACTGGACAAAATTTTTTTGTGTTTCTTGCATTCTGCTTTATACAAAGAATATACATATAGAAAGCCAAATTCCTACGTACAAAGGTATTTTCATTCGGTAAATGATCTTTGGTATTCCACAATTGCAGATACCGCATCGTCATTACATTGCTCAGAGTCAGAGAGGAAATTCCGTTTCTTAGTTTTTTCTTATGTAGGCTATTTCTAAAATGTAACGGTCGATAATAAAAACGATAAAAAAAACTATTTAAGTTAATACATACTTCAGTATAATTAATTCTTTAGGATTAAACCAACGTTCGTATATATCAAAGGCTGAAGGGAGAAAGATCTACATCCGCACACCCGCATTAGAAAAAGGATAAAAAAAGTTTTTAGTTTAATTCGCTGAATTTTTAATTCAATACAGTGAATAATCGTGTCTGTTTTTATGGCATATTTCTTGTGATCGATTTCTATATCATCTGACTCATTGCATCACTGGTCGTTTAAAGAGTTAACGGGATTCTTGTTGAGATAAGCCGGATTGTATCATTGACCATATAAACTATTGTAAACACCAGCAGAGAAATTAGACAACTCCCAATTCCAAAGCTGAGGCTGCCTAAAAAGAAGTCACACTTAGAAATACGTGGACATACAATCATTCTTATCGATATTGTCAGTTATGGTGGCAGGATTCAAACCCGCAGCTATGATAGAAAGATTTCTAGTCACGTTTGCCATCGAACGCTCTAACCAGCTGAGCCACCAAACCGATATAGTATCAATTTAAACACACAAGTCTGCAACCTCAACCACTTTTTAAAATAGATGTAAAGTAGATTATCAAGTAGGATTTTTCCAATATTATCTTTGCTAGTCATCTTCGAAGAACAAAGGAGCATTGATTGCAGCACCCATGAATGAGGGTGGTCAAAATAGCGAAAAGTGAATCAGAAAGACATGTGGATGGATAAGACTTAACACTTAACACCCGGTCATGATCGTCCAGAAGATCTTATACGAACGATTTTTCAATTCTTTCTATATACACCAAGTGCATGCAGTATCCCCAGAACATTTTACAACTCACCAAGAATTTTAAAGTTGGCTCCACAGCAAGCACAAAATTGATTAGTTATTGAGTAACAAATTTCATAATTTCAAAATGTAATATAATTACTAGTGATACCGACAGTGATAGCTTTAACCTTGAAAGAATTCCAGGCCATGGGCAGCTTCTAATTGCGTATATTATTGGTATTCGCAAATAATTAATTACATTAAAAAAATCATTAGCATGTTTAGTGATGTGAGCTTGGATATACGACAAAGTCGTAATGAAAATGACCATCATGTCATTTTGTATTGTGATGAGAGAATGCCAAAATTGTCACTTGTGTCAAATATTAATACTCCGACGTTATTTTCATTATGACGGTCAAAATAAGCCGATTTCTACTTTTGTCAAATATGTGACTGGAAAAAGAAGCAGATTAATTACTGAATTAAAATAGTTACGTTTTCCCAATTGCTGATTTTTTTTTAATTAAAAATTTAGAATGTTTTGTTTATTTGATTAGGTAGCTCATACAGGGATTATTTATTAAGAGCAGTGCCATATACAAACTTCAACTCAGTTGTATTGCTTCGTTTTCACCAGATATCCAACTTAAATATATATATCACTGTTAAAATTTTTAATATCGAAAAACGGACATATTTAATATATAAATATTTAGGTAAGCAATACTGATGCGTATTTTTTCATTAACAGAAATACGATTATTAAATTTCATAAAAATAAATGACTCCAAATAAACAATTCATATTTCTTATTAATAAAGAAAATAGGCATCAGTACTGCCTGTAACTTTATATATTAAATCCATATGGTATTTAAAATGAATCATGTTGTGTTCTCATTTTTTGTTCTCATCAATAGAAAAATTTTAATAGTGATTTAAAGTTTTCTGTTGGCTATCCTGGCAGCGAGGGCTTGCTAACGTCGCCTCAAGGAGTAATAACTCCTAAAATTTATACTACAAAAATTATTTATTTTAATTTAATTTTTAAAGACTTCAAGACCAATATTGTTTTATTAATAATAGTTTTTGCACAATTAAGGCTGGCCGAAATGTGCAGCGAGACATAGGAATACGCATCATAATAAGCGTAATAAAGAAAATTAATACGATAACACACTACGACACATAACAATGGACTAAAATGACCACAATAGAGTCTCGCGGCTCGCTCGACCCGCCGCCCGAATTACCAGCTTTAGTAACAATATGTTGTTATGTTTTATTGCTGTATTATAACCGTCATTTTACATCACTAAGTATGTCGATTCGAAAGAAAACTTATTTAGTTATTTAGGTAAAATATTTTAACGTGAAATGCAGATATAGTAGAAAAAGGTCAAAATCATCAAAGTAGGAGGATCTTCCTAAAATGTTGCATACGAGTATAACTTATTAATCTGAATATCCTTCCTTACTGTTGTTTTTACAGAAAATATACTTGACCTAACAAAAAAGTAGTTTTTGCTTAACTACCATGACTGCTACGTAGTTAAAAATAAAACAAAATTACACCAAAAATTTCTCTTCAGATAAAAAAAAATCAAAAACTTGTGGTCAATTTCACCTATTGCGAACTCAATTGGGGGACACATTGTATATGTATATTTTTTGTTCTGATATTATATTTCTTTGTGAGCTTCACTATTTATTTTTATGTTTTGTGTTTTCATTCTTTGTTGTGATATAGATTTTTTTTAATAATCAGTTAGTGTTCTGTTTTGTGTAGTAATTATTGTTATATATTTTTTTATATTCTTAACTGTTTTAAAATATAACAGTGTTTTTGTTGCGTTTTACTTTAATTTTTTTTTCAATTTATGCCAATTTTTAGTTATTTTATATATTTTCATTAGGTAATTAATAGTTATTTTAATCAATGCTTACTTTGATATGATATATAGATTTATATTGTGATTCGCCTTGCTCTTATTTATTCATCTGCTTCCTATATGCGACGCCTCTGGCAGAATAAGTTAGATCGCGGCAACTCGTAAGCGGGTCTGTTTACGACCTGTCTGTCAATCAGAACTAGCGAATAACCGCCGTTTAATATCCTATCACAATTTTTGGATGTGGGGAATGCGGCTCACTAGTAAACAGTGAAGTAAACACTGATTTTACAGTACAAACTGACTGCAAATACACTGAATAGTATAAGGATTTGCCCATTCATAAATACGTTTCTCAAGGTAAAAGCTACTAATGCCGTTAACTTTAATAATTACTATTAAATGTATGGAGTGTAACGAAGTGATTGTTTTGTAGAATTAAATTAGGCAACTAGGTGCTATTTGTCTGTTTCGAAAGATATTTTGAACATTGTAGTACTGCGCTCTTAATGGTGGTCTTGTCAGTTGCTCATTAATAATAGTATAATTATTAATTATAAGATAGACAGTGTTGATCTGTTTGTATAGACATTCCACATATGCCGAGTTGCAGGCAGTACGTGAATCGCGAAACGCGAAGCGCGCCTATTGCCCCCGGCACTCCTGTGCCCGCCCTACCGTAAAGGACTCCGAGACTGGAAACAATAAAATCGGTTCCCGTCTGACCGCCAACCGAAGCACCACGCCGACTAGCACAGTAAGTAAACTCGTGAGTATAGAGGCATATAGGTATTTAAATTTAATGCGAAACAGGTGACGTAGTTGCAATATTCCGCGCATGACTATCGCGTCTCATCCTACTTCTGCTTTTGGCAGTGTTTAGTAGCGTGAGGATTTTTTAGACAAGTTAGTTCCCGTCTGACCGCCAACCGAAGAACCACGCCGACCAGCACAGTAAGTAATCTTGTGAGTATAGAGGTACATATGTATATAAATTTAATGCGGAATTATTCTAAGTCGGTAAACAGGTGACATAGTTGCAATATTCCTCGCATGACTACCGCGCCCTCCTACTTCTGCTTTTGGCAGAGTTTAGTAGCTTGAGGGTTTTTCAAACAAGTCAGTTACCATTTAGCTGCTGACTGAAGAACCACGCCGACCAGCATAGTAAGTAATCTTGTTGTGAGTATAAAGGTATAGGTTTTAATTAAATTGAATTCGGGTGACGTATTGCTATATTCCGCGCATGACTACCGCGTCTCATCCTACTTCTGCTTTTGGCAGAGTTTAGTAGTTTGAGGATTTTTCAGAGCATCCAGGACAGTACGTTGCTGCCGCCCGTACCGACCAGACGTGCCGACACCTACCGCTCCAGAGAGGAAGCAGCCCAGGATACGGAAGTAAGTAGCAAGTTTTGATAAAGGTTTGGTAAATACTCGGTATTACTTGGCTGGTGAGTACTTTTCGAACCATTTTTTAGAGTTTGTGAACCGCGAGCGCTAAGACGTATCCGCCTCATATCCTTCCATAGAACGGGAGAGCGGCCGAAGGTTGGAATCAGAACCGCGTTATACCGCGTGCCCTCCAGGCCACCTGAGCACGTAAAAATTCTGCAGGGTGATTTGGAGGTACTATCATTTGCCACCGCGTGTCCTCTAGGCCACCTGAGCACGTAAAAATTCTGCAGGGTGACTTAGAGGTACTTTCGTAAACGCGTGCCCGCCAGGCCACCTGAGCACGTAAAAATTCTGCAGGGTGACTTGGAGGTATCGTCCGTAACCGCGGGTCCGCCGAACTACCTGAGCATGTCATATTCTAGGCTTGCCACTCCTTGCCAAACTCCCCCCAACCGTAACTGCGTGTCCACCAGGCCGCCTGAGCACGTCATATTCTGCAGGGTGCCTTGGAGTTACTCGATTTGGCATATAAGTCCGGAACCATCCATCAGCCAAGCGATAGTAAATAACCGCCATAGATAGTCATAGGTTGCTTGTATTGGCGCTTGCTTCCCCTCCTGGTATCCGTCCGCCGTCTGCTTATGGTCAATTAATTATTACTGGTTACCTTTTTTTCGCTGCTTAATCACCGTAGTACCGTGTCGCACCACTTATCCGCCCGCTTACTGTCCCCGCTCGCCTATGATTAAGACCGTTTTTAGTATAAGTTGTAGTTACTAAGGTGTATATAAAGTGTAAATAATAATTAGTGTGTAGAATAAATGTAAATATATTGAATAAGAGTCGTTTCATTAACTGTAGTGTGTAAGTTACATTTTCTCGACCCCTGGCTTATCCGTTATCTTCACTGTAGTTGCCGGGCCTCTATCGTCCCGCCGGTAGAGTAAAGTGGTGTTTCTGCACTCTAAACAGAAACTGGCGCCCGAGATATCCATACCGTGAGCACCTCCGTAGTGTTGGGCGTCAAAGTGATACTTCTGATCTTGTGTAGTGCAGAGAAGTACGTCACAGGAGACATGGAGACAGTATGCCACAAAACAATGTTAAATGAATTAGAAAATATTAATTGTTTGTGTTGTTAAAAAACTATTTAAACGAAAGGAAACAATTTCTTAAAATTGGTAATATTTTAAGCTAACCACAATTTGTAACATACAGCATACCGCAGGGAACAGTGCGAGTACTCATACTATTTTCAGTTTACAAAAATTATATAGTTACCCTTGATACTTCCGGTTCTATTATTTACTTCGCGGATGATGTAGTTAAATTTTTTAACAACTGTTGAACAAGACCTTAAAGAAATAATATATGCATTTGATAGTTCAAAAGTAATCATAAACTATAATAAAACGTTTTACTTATCACTAATCTTACAGTAGTAACCTGACAAATT